GAGCAGTCAATTTGGTTGGATTTTCCTATCCAGAAGCTGCTATTTTGGGCCTTTCTGTTCTGGTTGGCACAGGGGCCTTAAAAGATGATTAAAAGAATAAAAGTAAATGAACTTGACTTCTTAAAGTATTAAAGTATTGTTTTCACGAGTGCCCAAGACATCTTGATTGTTTTGGAATCAATGTTGAGGATTAAGTGCCCATTTTAATCTGTTTCCTTACCTTCTGGAATTTATCTGGTCCTTTCTAATAGCCTACCTTATTTTACAAAGTTGGAGGCAGAGTGTGGAAAGTTATTTGTAAATACTCCATTGTCTAGAATCTCATAGTCATCACAAACATTGCTACATCTTCTAGGGGTTAGTGTAGCTTGACCAACCCCACACAAACTGGCTGTTCTCCCATGAGGCACAGTTAGGATTTGAACTTCCAACCCTTTGTTTCTGTCACCAGGTGCTCCAACTCACTGAGCTACTCAGTCATTCCAAATACGATGCATATTAAATTGAGTTACCCTCTTTTCAAGTTCCACCATGTCCTCTCTGATAATAATGGCCTATGTTACAAATCATGAGTCACAGAGGCAATACATATTTTTAAATCTGTCTGTCTGTCTGTCTGTCTGTCTGTCTGTCTGTCTGTCTGTCTGTCTGTCTGTGTGTCACACTGGGTGCCCAGGGTGGTGTAGTGGATAGAGTGATGGATTAGGACTCAGGAGGCCTGGGTTCTGATCCTCAGTCACAGACATTCACTGGAGGAGTGGAACTCATAAAACCACTCTGTAAATATTTCAGCTTGAAAGCCCTGTTAGAGTCAATGTAAATCAGTTCCAAGTTGCCAGTACATAGCAACATCTCTCTCTCTCTCTCTCTCTCTGTCTGTCTCATCTATCTATCTATCTGCAGTGGTGCCTCGCTTAACGATTGCTTCGTACAACGAAAAATTCACTTAACGATGGCTTTTTCGGAGCAATCTTGTGCTTCACTTAACGATTTTCCCTATGGGTGATTTTCACTTAATGATTTCGGGACCATGCTTCGCTTAACGATGACAGTTTTAGGTCCCCTTGTTTCGCTTAATGTTTTTTTTACAGCCCCGTTTTTGCTATTTTTAAAATATTCTAAAATGTTTAAAAAATGTTTAAAATGCTTGGAATCATTTGTGCACCTAATAAAACCTTCGTTAACTTAATTTGGCTTTGTTCTGAGTCTTTTTGAATTTTTTGTGAATTTTTTCCCCCATTGAAATAGGCTTCAATGCATTTCAATGGGTTTCGCTTAACGTTTTTTCCTATGGGGATTTTCGCTTAAGGATGGCAATCCGTTCCAATTGGAACGGATTATCCGGTTTTCAATGCATCTCTATGGGAAATGGTGTTTCGCTTAAAGATGTTTTCACATAGCGATTTTTTT